TCATTAATTTGGCCATGGATCTGAAGGGAGGGTCGGGAAAGCCTGGTTGGTAGGGCACTGGGCCCATGTACAAGAGGTCGTGGGTTCGATCCCTGCCGGCCGAAGACTCTTCGTGCTGTAAATGTTGACTGGTGCCCGTTAAATCTGTCGAGTCACAAAGTCCTCCACGTTCCCATAACAAATCAATACCTCTGGGGGTATTGATACATTAGTGGTCGTCAACCCAAAAATTGGGTCGGCTGTTCAACGACGGGTATAAAATATATTATAAAATAAAAAATAGATCCGAAGGGGAAGGACATTTTCTCCAGCTCCTTGTACCCATGGTGCTGCTCAGTGACCAACCACAGGACTTTTGATTACACATATTTTACGAGCACGTATATCGCATGTACTTGGTGGGTTTTAGCGGTGCCGAGGATCGAACCCCGGCCCCTCCAAACCGGAGTCCGATTCAACTGTTATATAGAAAATCCCAACATCAGCTTACCAGCATAGAATGTGCACACTTCGTGGCGCGATGCACCGTTTCAGTGGCGTCACTTCAGCGAAAGAGCGAAAAAAGCTAGTAAACTATGCAGACTAACTTAAATCGTGCAATTTTATGAACTATATTTTAAAACGACGTTTTTGACTGTCTTTCCGGTAAAAATGAGCACTCAGTTACTCTAGTAATCATTTCCTTCTTTATTTTGTTCGTCAAACCTAGTGTATAAGTCAAGTTTGATTTCGTTATATTAAGTGCATAAAAATATCTGCTTTTGGTGTAGTATAGCCATTTCTGATCATGTTAGGAGATAATTGGGTCCGCTGATGAAACTTTTTATCGTTTAAAAAGACGCTTCACAAAATATGTTAAACCCAAAAAATGATTCTTCACAATTTTTTTTAAATATTGAATTGGACCCTTCTTAAAATATTTTAAATCTACAATATAACTCATTGAAAGACATTGTTTTTGTGTTTTTTACTCAGAATATCTTATTTTCTCATGTTCACAAAAACGGGACCTTGGTTGAAAAGGACGCGATTCAACGGCAATTTCAGATTCAAAAAAATTGTGAATAGATTTTGGCAAAATGTCTGAACAAACCACTATTTTTTTTTTTTTTTTTACAAAACCAGGACCCTATTTTCAAAAATTTACAAAACTGTGAGTAGATTTTTTCACAATTTCACAAAAACGAATTTTATAAACATTTTTGCATCAAAGACTAAGACGAGAACATTATTAATGTAAAACGAAATCCTTTCAATTTCATATTGTACAAGTTTCTGTGTAAATCAAACATTATTTAAAAAATATTTATTGAGAAAAATATGAGGAAACATTTGTACAATTATCATCTTTCTAAAAGAAACCTCTAAAAAAGATCATTATAGAATTATAAACAGAATTTTCTGCATACGATACAATTTATTCAGAATCCGTATGAGTGCTTGCTTACTACTTATTTTCCTATAATGAACATTGTTAGCTGTTGTTTACGCTTATTATTTCAGATTCTATTTCTAAGTTTCTTGTTTAAGTTCAATCAGTACCTACACGGAGTAAAAAATTCTGCTTTAATTACCGCACTTGTATGACAATGACTTTTCTGGAAGAAAAACAAAACAGCATGATGATCTAATAAAAACAACATATTTCCATTCGTTATACAACCTGAAATTCTGGTTTTGAAATATATGATTCTTATTACCATACTTTTAGTAAAAATATGAAAACTGGAAAGTAAATTTAACAAAATAAATGGCTTTAATGCCTAAGGTAAAACTACCAAATTTTATCACATTTACTACCAAACATCGTAATAAATCATAATTTATTGTTAATTTTACTGTAAGTCATTACCAAAGCGCTTCAGTAAAAATCACCGTGCTTTTTGATGTTCCTATAGAGCCAGAAACACGGCTAACTTTACCATATTCTGGTAGCTGTGACCATAAATTTTTAATTTGTGTGCTTCAGATAAATCAATTTTTTTTTTTTTAAATTTTTATTTCGGCTTTCAATTTTGAAATAACAATGTTTTTCTCTCCCTTACTTCCGAGATGAATTTTTTTTTAGCAAACGAAGAAAAGGGGAAAAACTTTTTTAAAAATTTCTTTACTAAACTAATTTTTCAAAAATTGTCTGCTTGATTTGCTAATATTTTTTTAAAATTACTCATTTTTTCCATCGCTCTAATAAAATTTAGCATTGTTGTTAATATAGATTACTAAAACCTCACTTTTAATAAGTATTTACTTCTTATTCGTAAAAAATTCTTTTTAGTCAATATGAAAATTCTTTTGAAAAATAAAATTCTTTTGTTCAAAAAGTAATCACAAAAAAATTATTTCCTATTTTATTATTTCTATAAAATAAAATGAGAAAGATAGGGAGAGGTTCGATAGTTGAGACATCGTTATATAGTATGGTAGTATGCATGCTTGATAATTTTTTTTCAAATATAAATTAAAAATGACAAAATATAGTCTATATTCTCTATATTCCACTGATATGTAAATCGATGAACTAAGCAAGTTGTCGCGAACTTGTAATTTTTTTTCCAACTTTGTTGGCAAATATTTTTTTGTTTGTCTTAACCTTAATTTAGGACTGGTTTTCGTTCTTTTTTGTATTCCTAAATCATTAAATACCTAAGCTGTGTTAAGTTATTTGCCGATTCATCCTAAAAAATGGGTAATTTAATAATTATTTATTTTTATTCTTTATGTAGAACGATAACAGCTTTTGAATGAATATTTACGTATGGAATAATTTTCTTTACTTCTGCAAGTTTCGCAATTTGTTTTAATAAATAAATTGTAACGATATTTAAACTTCGAACTTGAATTTTATTTTATATCCGTCGTTGAAGGTTTACGACTACTAATGTTCAACTCCGTTGTCTTGTAATTTTGAACCAATCCAGAAGACAAGGAAATTCCTGGATCAGTACCCCCAGAGGTTTGATTTGTCATGGGAACATGGAAGACTTTGCGACTCGACAGATTTAACGTGCATCAGGCACCATTTACTGCACGGGGAGTCTTCGGCCGGCGTGGATCGAACCCACGAACTCTTAGACAGGGGCCCAGTGCCCTACCAACTAGACTATCCCAGCCTTCGAACTTGAATTTGAAAACATTTATATTCTGTCAATTCTTGCTAGTTCTATTTAGTACGCGAAACACGTCTGTAAATAATGTTTTAATGTTATCTTCTGCTTATTATTCATTAGACGTCCCATCAAACTCTTGCAGATATTTTTCTTTTTTTCCGGTTGTATATTACAGGTAGAATAATTTAATTATTTTATTAACTGTGCTGTAATTAATTTATTTATTTAAAGAAACTACTTCGAAANTGCTTGCATCAAAATTTGCTCCATTACAGCTCTGTTAAACTAGAATGCCACATAAAATTCTGCCATGGTTGCTAAACGAATGTAGAAACCTTTGACCGCTATGTGACTGTGCAATTTAGGAAAGATTCTGGTGGAGGTGGAAAAAGGGATTAGGAAATTAGCTTCTGTTTTTAAATTCTGTCATTGGGCTGAATCCATTTATAGCTCAAGTTTGTTCCAATGCTTTGGTGGTAATTTTTTTTCTATTTTGACAAAATGTTTTTGTATTTTTAACTTTATAAAATTCTCCAAAAATTAGTTGGTTATAATTTAATAATAATAAACTTTATATTGCACCTTTTTTCTAAAAGCTTTTCTACTCTCATTCAAAGAAATCTACGAATTATTTTTTCTCAGCAAACCAACCAATCACACATTTTTTTACAATCGCTAACAGCAATGTTTGTCGACAAATCTTTACAATTGTTGCATTAATGACTTTTGATTCAAAATTTTGTACCAAAACATAAAAAATTAAATAAAACAATCTTGCCAAATCGTCAAAATAAATTATTCTTTTTCAAGATGATATGTTGAAAAAATAGTATTTCGAATAAAATATTTTATAATACCGACACTTGTACACATCCTACACTTTATAAGAAAAAAGAAACAAAAACCTGGAAATTTTAAGATTTTTATCTGGAAAACCTGGAAAAATCAGGGAAATTTGAAATCTGATTTGAGTGGCCACCCTGATAATGTTTTAATGTTATCTTCTGCTTACTATTCACTAGACGTCCCATCAAACTTTTGCAGCTATTTTTCTTTTTTTTCGGTTGTATATTACAGGTTGAATAATTTAATTACTTTATTAACTGTGCTGTAATTAATTTATTTATTTAAAGAAACTACTTCGAAATAAGCATATCATTATAAGTTGAAATTTCAAATATTTATAAAATTTTTATATTTTTCAATTAATTTTTTTCTTTTTACATTTCTTTATGACCATTATGAAAATTTTTATTTACATTTCCTTTTTTTTATGATAATATATATTTGAGCACTTTGTGATATTTAGAACAGAATTTATTGAATTCTTACAAAAATATTGTATAGTTATAATTTCAGGTTGCTTTGGAAATTAAAATTCTTTAAATTAGTTGGCAGTCTGTGAAATTAAGGTGCTCATTTAATTAAATTTCACTTTTGTTTAATAGCTTAAAAAATTAATTTCCTCCCGACTTGACAAGGTGGCTCAGAGGATAACACGTTCGTTTTCCAGATTTCCTATGAGGTGAGGTTCGAATTTCAGCTGTGGCTGATTGATACGAATTCTGCTCGCCGCTCGTACCGACCACAGTGCTGGCGGAAAATATCCTCAGTGGTAGACGGATCATAGGTTAGAATCCCTTTGCTATCGGGCTTACCGTGGGAAGATTTCGTGGTTAGTTCCATCAAAAAATCCTTCTCCCAATGTCTGATTCAGGAGTCCCCTTGCCTTCTGGGTTGGGTTCAAAACTACAAGACTGCGAAGTTGAACATTGATAGTCGTTATCTCAGAATTAGGAAGGCTGTTCTAAGCCGGCTATAAAATATAAAATAAAACGATACTTCTACAGGTTGTAAGAACATTTTGAGTAATTTATGTATTTATTTTTGCAGGTAACGGAGACATTCAGAATGAGTACGTGAGAACAGGAAACAATGCCACACTTTATTGCCAGCCTGCTTCGGAAATGGATAAAATTAATCGTCTCATCTGGTATAAAGAAGATAAAAAGATAGCAGAAATAGTAAATGGTAGAAGGACGTTTTGGGATGCTGGTAGCCATCTAAATCTCCAGTCTCACAATAATGCCCTTTATTTTCGGAGAGTCACTTACAAGGACAGTGGCGAGTATTATTGTGAAGTGAATTCGAAAAGGAGTAGACAATCTCTTGCTCGATTGCTTGTCCAAGGTAAGATTTGCTTTTACCTGAACTCGCTGTACAAGGTGATTATAAAATAATTTTGCCCCCTATAAAGAGCATATCATTTAAGTGAACGTAATAAAATTTTGTACATAGAGTATTATGATCTATGCGCTGAAGAATGACGTTAAAAACGATTGTGTAGCTCTCACGGATACAGTTACAGTGACAAAATTTAGAAATTTTCAAATGGCAACACTACTTTTTTGATCGAATCGTAATTCTTACTGTATAAAAGCTAAAATGGAGTTGAAACGGTATTTTTAGAACAAGAAATTGTGACGTTAGGCTTTTGCCATTTGCCGTTTCCTGATCATTAAAAGCAGATTTTATTTGCCAATTGGAATTTCGATCACTTTTCGTCATTATCCTTAAATTTTATTTTTCCAATGCCCTCCTGTGTTAACATCCGTCAATTCAGGCATATACAAGGCGATTTTGTTGACCTCGCTTTCAGGAGCACCATATTAGGTGGGCCAACGTCGCTCCCACAGTGAGGACAGATAGTACAGAGAAGGAAAAAACATCCATGCCTTGCCCGGGATTCGAACCCAGAACCTTTCTGATGCAAGGACAGTTTCCTGCTCTCTACACAGGCCGGTCGACTTATCTTTAACTAACAGATGCAAAATTAAACGAAGAAAATTATAATGATTTTAAAACTACGTTTTTTTTTCAAAATTTTTTTAATGTTTACTAAAAAAGAAAATATTTTTATTTTTGTTCCACAGGAAACGAAAAACGTGGGGCGTATCACATACGTAATAATAGTATGTCGAATTCGTAATTTCTAACACTACCTAAAATTCCCCACGTTTTCGAAAGTAGTGCACCTCATGTTTTTGTTTTACGGATGGACAAAACTAAGAACGTGGTTAATTATTATTTTTTTTCTCTATATTTGTAGCTTGTTTTTTTATTTTATTTATTTTTATAATGCGGTTTGATGTTGTTTTTTTAAACATATTATAGGGATCGTAGTAAAGACAGCACCAAATATATATAAAAAAAAAACGTCATTTTGAAACATCAGTATATAGTATGCTGGATTTTATGTTCAGTATGCAAAAGCTTATATCCAAATCACAATTATTACCACCTAATTTGATAACGCTTTACAAACATTTATCATAGAAAATATATATTTTGCGTGCAAGAGGTAGGTAGATATGTGGGTATTTTATTTAGGTCGCATTAAACTGCACAAAGGGCTATTGGCGACGGTCTGGGAAACATCCCTAAAGGTGATCAGAAGACATGCCATCACGATTTTGATCCTCTGCAGAGAGGATGGCTCCTCCGCTTTGGTAGCCCAATGACCTGCGCGCGAAATCGAGCACTTTACAGTAGAATAGTTTAACGAGGACCGATACCGCGCACCCTCGATCCCTACGTAAGCTGATCAAAGTGGTCACCCACTCGCTTACTGATCGCTGCTAGTGATGCTTGACTTCCGTGTTCTACTGGGAACTGTGTCATTTCGATCAATCCACAGCGGGTCATTTGCGTGTAAAAAGGACTATCAACGTGTGGACAGCACATGTTTTTTTTTGCATTTTGTGACATCACGAAGTTAACTGTTCGAATAACTTAGCTTACTGTGAAAAATTTTGCTAAACTGTTTACATTGAATCCTATGTTAAATCAGTGTTATTCACATTTGAGCTGGATATCTAAAAAAAATATAATATAAAGTGTTTTCGGGCGCCAGAATGCTGAAATAGGGCATTAACTGATAATATTTGAATGCATTTCAGTCGTTCTGGTGTGAAACAACATCGAGAATGGATCTTGAAAAAATTCCTTCATGCAATTATCTGATCAGTCAACTAAATCGATGACGCTATGTTTTTTGTTTGAGTAAAGTAAAGCTTGAGGAAGGTAATGATCTTCATTTATAGTAAAATGAAACATGCTTATTTTTGTATAAATATTCTTGCAATGTAATCGTAGTCCCGCAGTGGACTGATCGTTAAGACACGGCTCCCAACAGATCACTGAAGTCAAGCATCACTGACTGAGGTCAGTGTGTGGGTGGGTGATCACTTTGATCAGTCTGTGAAGGTTCCGAGGGTGTGCGGTATTGGTCCTCGTTAAACTGTTCTACTTTAAAGTGCTTGACTTGGCGGGTGGGTTGTTGGGCTACCGAAGCGGGTGTGCCATCCCCGCTGCAGAGTATCGAAATTGTGATGGCATGCCTTCGGATCTTCCTCAGGGATGTTTCCCAGACCGTCGCCAATAACCCATTGTGCAGCTCTAGTGTGACGTAAAAAGAACTGCAACAGCAATGTAATTGTAAATTATGCTAATTCGAAGATTTCATAGTACAGTTCCGCGCAGTTGTGTTCACCATGGGATCAACATCAATAATATAATCATAGGCTGTATTAAAAAAATGTGATTTATGCTTTAAAGTGAGACAATTGTTTTTCTATTACTGATTACTTGCAATCTTTGCAAATAATTTTTTGAAAAAATTGAAAAACAATTTTATAAGTGGAACAAAAACATGGTTCTTACGGTTTTATATGTTGTATGTTATGTGTCTAGTATCAGTAAAAAATTTGGGTTTTCTATTTTTCTTTATTTAATTATGGCTGTTCAATAAATGTTGAAATAAAATCCACATATGAAGATTTAATCTTCCATATGTGTATTTTATTCCTCTTCAATAATGAAATTCAATATGAATATCGTTAATTATGCATCTGACATTGTTCAAGTAACTTCAATATTTATTAAAATAATGGGAGTAAACATTATGTCAGATTTATTGCCATTGATATTACTGTTACGATAGTCTATTTGTGCAAAATTAAGTCGGAAAACTAATATAATGCTGAAATTTGTTTAGGTGTATACGAGACCTATCGTACTTTTGTTACTTGTGTATTAATTAAAATGTATAATAAAACAAAGTCTTTTGCCTTTTTTCATTCACAATAATATATTTGTCAGGTAATTTAGCAACATCAGATAAATTTAGGTTTTTTAAAGTGACTTAAGCCAATTCGTAATTTCATAATATCAAACTTTTGTGTTTGTTTTTATATCAAACTTAAATGCATGAAGTTTATTTTTATTTAAATCTTAGCTGTTATAGCTTAAAAAGATATTAAACTCGATGTAATTAGGAAAAAATATTTTCCTCAATAATCAAATTCAATCTTTGCTTTCGTATTTTAACTATACATACTATTCACTATTGTAAAAAAATATGTAAATAAATTTTATTTTATAACCGTCGTTGAACAGCCGACCCAATTTTTTGGGTTTACGACTACTAATGTTCAACTGCGTAGCCTTGTAATTTTGAACCCGACTCAGAAAACAAGAGAACTCCTAGATCAAGTATTGGGAGAAATTTGCCTTCGTGGAGGACTTTTTTGATAGAACTTACCCGCGTTTACGTTACATGGAGAAGAAAACCACTAAAACCTCACACGGTTAGCCTAACGGCTGACTAACCCATAATCCATCTACCACTGAAGATATTTTACGTCAGCACTGTGGTTGGCGCAAGCCGGATGCGGTATTCGTATCGACTAGTCATTGCTGGGATTCGAACCTGGTTCTCCTCTTTGGAAGGTGAAGGTTCTATCCCCTGAGTTATCACGACTCATGTATATAAATTAAAGAAATGTTTATTGAAATAGTTTTGTGCATTTAAGATTAAGGAATATTTCCTATCGTGATCTGTCTCACCAGCTATAGTCGCCAAGGAGCCAAATGGATTTTATGCTTTCAAATTTAAAAATAAATAAATAAATAAATGTTAAGAACGAGTTGCACCCTGTTAGCTGATCTCCTTATGTGATTTTCTTTTTTTATTATATATTTTTTTGCGTCTCGTCGGCTACTGCCCGGAAGTTGCCAAGACTTGATGATTATTCTGTTACAGATCACAAAACGGAAATCTTCCAGAAATAGATTTTATATTTTGTTGTATTTAGCTTAAGAAAATATTGAGTAATTGCTGAAAATAACATTGTTGTAAATAAAAAATAACAATATAATTAAGTCTGAGATTTCGAGGGTGGTTTTTAATTTCAGATTATACAAATTTGAAACTGCCTATTTTAACTACCATTAAACTAAAAAAAAAAAAAAAAAAAAAAAAAAAAAAAAAAAAAAAAAAAAAAAAAAANAAAAAAAAAAAAAAAAAGAAAGAAACTTTAACAATTAAAAGCTTTCTTGATTGTTCTTATTGTCCTGTTTATGTTTAACATAACAATATATTAATGAATTATTTATATTCTAAATAATATATTACGCGTATTAGTTAATAGCAAACCAGCATTAATACAACATTTTAACACCAAATATTATTGATAATAATTAATTGTTAACATATTTTTTTTTATCATGAATTTTAAATTCTCAAAAAACCAGTACTTATTGGTTACTGGTAGCATGAAGAGAAATTCGCCAACAGTTAGAACAATGCCAGTTTCTGATTTACATTTATCACTGGCTACTGATGATACACATGGATGCATCGAATATGAATCCGTGAATATTATACAAAGTGAATACTATTGAGTACTATATTATTGTGAATGTTGCTAAATTTTATTTAGGTAACAAAAACATTTACAATGTAAAAATAGCATAAATGCTAAGTACGCCTGTTAAAGACTTTTGACTTTTTTAACGTAAATGTTTATTAACTTCATAATGCTGTCTTTCAGTTCTTCGACAACGCTGTTAAACTAAATCATTACTTTTTTTAAAAAATTATTTTTGCTTTAAAACGCATACTGTTTTAGAACTGTGTTTTCTTTTAACTGAAAGAAATTTATCACTGTCAAAGTTAGCTCAATTGTGGCGAAACCATGGTATTTAATCATGGTTGATAAAAGCCATATTTTGTTTAACAAAGTTGGAATTTTTTAAAATTTTAATCAGATTTTTTTTAAAAATTGTTTTTGCGTTTAACGATCAAAACTGTTACAAAACGTATAAATAGTACTTTCTATTATTTAACA